CCACCATCTTTCTGCATTGCAACAATCCTGTTTTGGTGGTTTCCAGGTTCCACTGGAATTGCAATCCACTGGATGGAAGAACATCCTTGGGAAAGCTCCCTCTTTGCCCTTCTCCTCTTCCTTTTTCTTCTTCATTTCATTATTTTTCTGTGCTACTGATGATTGAGTGTAACCCACGTACACTCTGCGGCTGAGCTATACCCACTGTTATCTTCCTTATTTTGAGACAGGATCTTACTAAGTTGCCCAGATGGGACTCAGATTTCCAATCCTCCTGCCCCTGTCCCTCAAGTGCTGGGATTATAGCCCCACAACTGTGGGTGAACTCACTGGGTCCTAGAGCACACATTTAAAGCTTTAATAGATGGGCTGGAGTGGTAGCTCTGTGGTGGAATGTTTGCCTAGCACTTCTGAGGCCCTGGGTTCAATCGGCTACACCACCAAGGCAAACAAAAAACAAAGTTAAATAAAGGCAATCTGGAATACATAGTGAGATGCTGTCCCATTAGATAAAAACACATGGGGCAGGGGAGATAGCTCAAGGGTCTAAGCGGCTGCCTCCCAAGCATAAGGTCCAGAGTTCAATCCCCAGTACCAAATATTGTGCTGGCCCCGAAAATGGTTGTGGTGGTGGATGAGTGTAATCTCAACACTGGGGAAGCTGAGACAGGAGGATCACTATGAGTCTGAGCTGTGTAGTGAGACCCTGTATCCAATAAATAAATAAATTTAAAAGATAAAAACACAAGATAGATGCAATCAAATTACTTATTTTTTTGGGGGGGGTCCTCATAAGAGTCTTGCTATGTAATTCAGCCTGGGTTTGAACTCACTATGTAGCCCAAGTAGGCCGAGAAGTCACAGATTCTCCTCCCTCAGTCTCCCTAGTGCTGAGATTACCCCAACTGCCTTTCTTTCTTTCTTTTTTTTTTTTTTTTTTGGCAGAACCGGGGATTGAACTCAGGCCTGTGTGCTTGCCAGGGAAGCACTTATTCCACTGAGCCATCTCCCTGGCCCCACCAACTGCCTTTCTAAAGCAGCCCAGTCCACTTCCTCTGGCCATGTAGGAGCAGTCATGCTTCATCCCACTGCCAGCACTGGGTGGACTTAAGCCCTTATAGTTGCTAAGTTGCTCCCTAAAGAGTCAAAGCTATGGGGTGCTTGTGTTTCTGTGGCCCTCTGTCCTTCTCGGGGCTCTGGCTCACCTCTTCATATGGCTTTTGTAATTCCCCTGGCTGTGGTCTGGCTGTGAAGTCATAGTGCCGAGCCCTGCTGGTGGTGGCCTGGAAGGAGGACAGAGTGGGGACAGTGCGTTTCCAAGGACTGGAACTAAGGGAGGCTGCAAGGGTGGCTTGGATTCTGGAATGCACCGCAGTGGCCTTGCCTAGCAGGCCTGTGTGTCCTCCATGGGGGGCAGGGGAGGAGAGGCGGTGTCCTTGGAAGGAACAGCTGGGGGTGACGCCAGCAGCTCCCCCCATCTCCCAGGGCTTGTCCTTTTGTCCCCTCCCTTCGCACAGTGCAGGGGGAGGGGGAGGATGTGAAGCTGGGTGGGGCAAAGGTGAGCTGCTCCCTGGTGCGCCAGGCCAGGCCCATAGCCACTTTCGGTTGAGGCCAGGTGTTGCTGAGTGCCGCGGCTGTGGCTGTGATCCAGCTGCCAGTCCTGCTCTTGATACCTGCTCTGCCCCAGCCCTGGGGACCAGTCCTGCCCACTGGGCCCATGCTGCTGCCCGGACTCCTCAGCCTCCTCTGGATGCTTAGGGCCTGCCTAGGAGCCTCAGGTTTGGGGGAACAGGGGAGGGGAGTGCAGGGCGGGTGGAGAGGTGGCTTGAACCAAGCTCTGGTTGCAGATCCTGGTTGGGTGGAGGTGGAGAAGAAGGAAGCTGGGTCAGTTGCTGCTGCTTTTGATCTAGGGCTGAACAGGCTGCAGGGAACCAGCACCCAGATCTGTATCCTAGGGTGGGAGGAATTCCTCCTGGAACATGACTCTTCTTCCTGGACTCAATTCTCTGCCTCCCTTCCTGGTTCCTCTGCCCCCCTCCCCTCAGGCTTGGGGCCCTCTCCACACTGGACTCTCCTCTCTGCTGCAATCAGTGTCCCCAGGTCCTAGGTCTCTCTCCTTCCTTCTCTCTGCCTTGGGTGTTCCCATCCCCCCTTCCAGCTCTGTCCCTAGCTCAAGTTGCTAGGGCCCCTGTTTCTGAGCATAGCTGTGGTCAGCAGGGCTGGGCCTGGAGGTCCTGAAGTCCTCTTTGCCTCTCCCAAGGGTGGCTCCTAGACACGTGGTATGTGGTGTGGGTTGTGTGTGCAAGCGTGTGGGGGGTGGGAGGAGAGGGGGTGTCCTGCCATTTTCATTAACCTTGATTCCTTAATTGGCATTTTCTCTTCTGCCCTGCGGTGACAGTTCCAGACCCCACCCCCAACCTAGAGACCCTGGTTCCTCCCCCCCACCCCCCAGTCCGCTGGTTCCTCCTCTCACCCTCCTGCTGGGCACATCCTGGCTGAAAGCTCCCCCACCCCCAAGTGACACTAGCTCTGCATACTGAGTCCCACCCCAGAGAGCAGCACAGTGGGGACCTCCTGCTGGCTGCAGCTGCCTCAGCTCAGCCCAGGAGACCTGTGGTCCTTAGTGTCACCATCTGTGAAATGGCCCAGGGCTCTCTATAGAATAGGACTTCTGTGCTCCTAGGCTAATCCAGGGGTTGAAACAGAACACCCGCCTTTTGTGTGTGTCTTTTGTCTCTGTGATGAACATTCTCCACTAAACCTTCCGGTCTCCAGAATTCCTGCCCTGCCTGGTGAGGTCTTTCTTTTCTGGGACTTTTCTTCTCCACCCCGTGCCTGTGTGTGTCTTTTCCTTGAGGTCCTCCTCCCTCCACATTCCTCCGTCTCCACAGAGTCAGGGCTGCAACCTCTTTCCCCTCTGACCCTGTCTCCTGAGTCCTGGCCTAGCCCCAACCCCCAGCTCAGCCATGCAAGGGTTTCTCTCTCCAGAAAGGAAGGAGATAAGAGTCTCCTGGTTGGAAGGGTGGGGGAGGGTCAAAGGGTGGGAGCAGAAAGCCAGTGAGGAGGAGAATTCTAGGTAGCAGGTGGAGGGGATGGAGTGTGGAGGAAGGGGGAGCCTCAGCTGGCCAATGACCTGCAGCGCTGCAGGGCTGCGGAGCAGGGCCCTCGCTCCTTGCTCTGCACAGCCTCTTGGAGGTGGGTTCCAAACCGGAAGGAAGCCCTCAGCTCCAAAAAGCCCCTAGTGCCCCCAGTGGTGGTGGGGATAAGCTGTGTCACACCCACCCCTTTGTGTCAGGAAAACGGAGTAGTGAATAACCTGTGTGGTGGCGTGATGGTGACTTGGGGATTCACCAGTGGGTTTCTCTGTTCTCTGTCCACACAGGAAGCCCTGGCACTGCTCTTAGCCATGCCTCAGGGACCACAGCAGCCACTGAGTGGCCACCCAGGCCCACCCATACTGCCTCTCCTGCTTCGGGCTCCAGGGAAAACACATCTGCGCCTCGCACTGTGGCCACTGACCTTATATTCACTTCTGAAACGCTACTGAGTCCTACGGTCCATTCTGACACCTCAGCGTCCCGCGAGTTGGTCACGAAGGTTGGATCTTCTCCTGCTACCCTCTTGTCTGTGACTCCCAACATGGTTAGGGTCACTTCCATCTACCCTACCACCTCTGTGCCAGGGACCCCTGTGCCCAACTCTAGCCCTTCTTATACCACTTTTGGGACAGACAGGCCAGTGACTGTGAGTATTACTAAGGAACTGACCACCTCTATGGACTCTTCTCCTCCTGCGAAGGTCTCACCCTCTTCCTCAGCCCCACTAACAGACACAAACTACAAGACACAGCCTTCCACTTTAACTGCTTCAGCAGGGGCCACAAAAAGGACTACCCTAGCCCCAACTAGCGACGATGTGGTGTCTACCTCCGTGTCTTCTACTATTCTTTCTTCAGCTCCCACAAAATCTATCTCAGTAACTACCAGGACAATTACAGAGGGACTCTCTTCTACTCTAGTTACACCTACCACAGCTGAGGCCACCCCAGCACCCACTGTCACCAGCACATCCTCAGCAACCAAGCCTACACAAGCACCCTTAGCCACCGCAGCACAAGCTGGAACAGGCCAGACCACTTTCCCCACCTTCACCAGCTCTAGTGCCACATCCACAGGAGAGTCCACTCTGACTCC